GGTTTTCTGTAGGTTATCACATGGAATCTTCACCACAGACCCAGAAGGTGGGACTGGTTTTTCCTGTCGTGCTTTGGGTGTAGTACTGGTACAGTCTGATTGAGATTTGTTTCCCACCTCATAAAAGCCACCATTTCAGGCATGTAGTTTTATATGATTTAGGGTATTCATGGAGCTGTACGGCCATCCCATGATTTAATTTTAGAACATTTTTGAGACTCCAAAGAGCAATGCCATACACATTAATAGCCAACCTTCATTTCCAACCCTGCCCTTGCCCCCAAATGGAAGATAAGATTCTCTTACTGATTAACTAGAGGCCCATTGCACGAAGATTCATGCAAGAATAGGCCATAGATGAGAGAGAAACATTGATGAACTGCCTATTGCATAGCCCAACCTGGGGATTGAGCCCACAACCTCATGGACATGTATCCTGCCCAGGAATGGAACTGGTGACCTCTGAGTGCGTGGTACGAGGCTCAATCAACTGAGCGACACCACTGGACATAAAGGCAGTCCTTTTCTACTAAGACAAGGGCTTGGCAAAGCCCCAGACACAGATGGAGTGGGTCCCCTGGGCGGGAACACAGGGAGTGTGTGAGTCCTTGGGGCAGGCCAGCAGCCTCCAGGAGCGGCGCCCATGTATATGCCATCACAGGAGCCTGTTGTTGGACCAATCAAAAACGGTGAAATAGAGCCTCAGGAAGATGTCCCCCAGGACCCAGAGGCTGGAATTGTCCGGGGTGTCGGGGTCCAAGTTGGGGTAGCTGATGTCCGTCTGGTCCTACAGGGGAAGAAGCATAGCCCTCAGTCACCATCGCAGCCACCCTTCAGGCCTGGGCGGCAGCTTTATCTCACCTTCCCCTGGGCCCTCCACTTGGCTCTTTGCTATGAGAGATTCCCCGCCTGCTCCCCTTCACCCCTCTCATCCTTTAAGACCAAGCCCAGTGCCTGGGCAGCCTTTCCAGACCCCAGCCCCCTCCTTGGCAGTGCCGCCTGGGTGGGGAGGCTTCCCCGGGCTCCCTGTGTCTTCAGCCTCAGCACACGGGCTTACAGGGTGCCCCTGGCCCGGCTCCGGGGTGCCTCCAGGGTTCGGCCTGAGAGATTTTCAGTTGCTCTCTGAGGGCTGCCCAACCTCCTCGGCACACCTTGGGGAACCGGCACTTCTTGAGCCTCGACTATGTGCCAGGCACTGCCCGGTCACTGCACACCTTTGTTCATGTCAGCTTCTCACCACCCACAAAGGGGCCTGGTCCCCATTTCACAGACTGGAATTGGGGCCTGCAGGGGGCATTTGCACCTTAGGTCACATAAGTGACCTGGAGGAAATGGACACATTCCTAGAAAAATACAACCTTCTAAAACTTATTCAGGAAGTTTCTAAAAATCTCAATAGACTGATAACTATGGAAGAAATTGAAGCAGTTATCAAAAAGCTTCCAGCAAACAAAAGCCCGTGCCAGATGTCTTCACAGGCGAGTTTTACCAAACATTCAAGGAAGAACTAAAACCTATCCTCCTCAGACTATTCCAAAAAAATTCAAGAGGAAGGAACACTTCCAAGCTCCTTCTATGAAGCCAGCATCACCCTAATACCAAAACCAGATAAAGATAACACAATGAAAGAGATTACAGGCCAATATCCCTCATGAACATAGATGCCAAAATTCTCAACAAAATTCTAGCAAATCGAATCCAGCAGTACATCAGAAAGATCATACACCATGACCAAGTAGGATTTATCCCAGGGAGGCAAGGATGGTACAATATTCGCAAATCAATAAACGTGATATATCACATAAACAAATTGAGAGATAAAAATCATATAGTCATATCAATTGATGCAGAAAAAGCATTTGACAAAATCCAACACCCTTTCTTTAAAAAAAATATATATATATATTTTATTGACTTTTTACAGAGAGGAAGAGAGAGGGATAGAGAGTTAGAAACATCGATGAGAGAGAATCACCAATCAGCTGCCTCTTGCACACCAAGTACTGGGATGTGCCCGCAACCAATATACATACCCTTGACAGGAATCGAACCTGGGACCTTTCAGTCTGCAGGCCGACGCTCTATCCACTGAGCCAAACCGGTTTCAGCCCAACACCCTTTCTTGATAAAAATTCTCAGCAAGATGGAAATAGAGGCTCATACCTCAACATAATAAAAGCCATATATGACAACCTATAGTCAATATCATACTCAATGGGAAAAAACTAAAACAATTTCCTCTAAGAACAGGAACAAGACAGGAATGCCCACTCTCACCAGTCCTGTTCAACATAGTGCTGGAAGTACTAGCCAGTATGATCAGACAAGAAGAAGAAATAAAAGGCACCTAAATTGGAAAAGAAGAAGTAAAACTGTTCTTATTTGCAGATGACATGATATTGTACATAGAAAATTCTAAAGACTCCATAAAATTATTAGACTTAATAAATGAATTTGGCAAGGTAGCAGGATACAAAATTAATACCAAGAAATTTATAGCATTTCTATACACCAATAATGAACTTTCAGAAAGAGAGACTAAAAAAGTAATCCCATTTACCATCACACTAAAAAAAATTAAGATACCTAGGAATAAACTTAACTAAGGAGGTATAAGACCTATAGGTGGAAAAGTACAGGACACTGAAAAAAGAGATAGAGGAAGAAATAAACAGATGGAAGAACATACCATGTTCATGGATTTGTAGAGTCAACATCATCAAAATGTCCATACTACCCAAAGTAATCTATAAATTGAATGTACTTCCCATTAAAATACCAATTGCATATTTTACAGACCTAGAACGAACCTTCAAAAAATTCATCTGGAATAAAAAGACTCCGAATAGCTGCAGCAGTCCTGAGAAAGAAGAACAAAGTAGGGGGGAATCTCAATACCAGATATCAAGCTGTATTACAAAGCCACTATTCTTAAAACAGTCTGGTACTGGGACAAGAACAGACATATAGATCAATGAAATAGAGAACCCAGAAATCGACCCAAACCTCTATGCCCAATTAATATTTGACAAAGGAGGCATGAACATACAATGGAGTCAAGACAGTCTCTTCAACAAATGGTGTTGGAAAATTGAACAGATACATGCAAAAAAATGAAACTAGATCACCAACTTTCACCATACATAAAAATAAGTTCAAAATGGACAAAGGATTTAAACATAAGACAAGAAACCATAAAAATACTAGAAGAATCCACAGGCAGCAAAATCTCAGACATATGCTGAAGGAACTTATTCACTGATACTGCTCCCAGGGCAATGGAAACTAAAGAGAAAATAAACAAATAGGACTACAACAAAATAAAAAGCTTTTGTACAGAGAAGGAAACGATCAATAAAACAAGAAAGCCCACTGCATGGGAGAACATATTTGTCAATGATATCAATGAGAAGGGTTTAATCTCCAACATTTACTGAGAACTCAAACAACTTAACAAAAAGAAGATAAACAACCCAATAAAAAAATGGGCAACTGATCTAAATTGACACTTTTCTAAAGAAGAGAGAAGGAAGGCCAAGAGACATATGTACAGCTGCTCAAAGTCACTAATCATCAGAGAGATGCAAATCAAAACAACAATACGGTACCATCTTACACCTGTCAGAATGGCTACCATCAACAAATCAACAAATGACAAGTGTTGGCGAGGATGCAGAGAAAAAGGAACTCTTTTGCACTGCTGGTGGGAATGCAGACTGGTGTAGCTGTTGTGAACAGTATGGAAATTTCTCAAAAAACTAAAAATGTTTTTTTAATCATTTGACCCAGTAATCCCACTTCTAGGAATATATCCCAAGAAACTAGAAACATGAATCAGAAAGAATATATGCATCCCTATGTTCATAGCAGCACAATTCACCATAGCTAATATTTGGAAACAGCCTAAATGCCATCAGCAGATGAGTGGATTATAAAACTGTGGTACATGCCAAAACTGGTTTGGCTCAGTGGATAGAGCGTCGGTCTGCAGACCGAAAGGTCTCAGGTTCGATTCCGGTGAAGGGCATGTTGCGGGCACATCCCTGGTTGGGGGTGTGCAGGAGGCAGCTGGTTGATGTTTCTCTCTTATCGAAGTTTCTGGCTCTCTATTCCTCTCCCTTCCTCTCTGTAAAAAAATCAATAAAATATAAAATAAAAAAGAAAAATAAAAAAATAAAAACTGTGGTACACAATGGAATATTATGCTGTGGTAAAAAAGGAGGGGTTCCTATCATTTGCAACAACATGGATGGAACTGGAGAGCATTATGCTAAGTGAAATAAGCCAGTCAGAGAAAGATAAATATCACATGATCTCTCTCATTTGTGCAATATAATGAACGGCATAGACCGATGAACAAGAACAGATCCAGAGACAAGAAACGTTGATCAGAACCTCAAACCTCAGGGAAGGAGGGGAGTTGATGGAGTAAGGGGGAGAGATCAACCAAGAGACTTGTGTGCATGCATATAAGACTAATCAATGGACATAGACAATAGGGGGTTGGACATGAGTGGAGGGTGGGGGGTAATGAGGAGATAAGGACACATGTAAAAAAAATAAATAATAAAAAATAAAAAGAAATTATGAGTTAATCAGGACCCCTCCCCCCAAAAAATAAAAGAAGAATAAAAGATGACAGAAGGGCAGATGCCAGAGGGAGGAGAGAGAGTGGGCCAGTGGGTTTTGATTTCTTGGTGCAGCCACCACGCTGTGCGGACCTGCTCTGGTTCTGCATCCGGGCCCCAGGCATCCTGGTTCAGGTCCTTTCTGATTAAGCCGGTTGGAGTCGGGTCCCCTCCCTGTTGGTCCAGAGGAGATTCCAGAGCCCTGCCTGCCTGTGCCGCACTTCCCAGACCCACGCAGAGGCACCATTCGTATGAGCGCCATTGGAAATGAGACCGTTTATTAAAAATCAATGTTTTTTTAAACATCAATATTTTCATAACTTTTTAGAGGGAGAGAGAGAGAAACATCAATGAGAGAGAAACATTGATGGACTGCCTATTGCATTGTCCTCCTGGGGATTGAACCCACAACCCCGGGGTCATGCAGTATGACCAGGAATGGACCCAGTGATGTCTGAGTGCATGGGATAAGGTTCAATCACTGAGCCACACCGCTGGGCACAAATGAGGTTCTTTCTTTTCCACTGAGAAGAGGGCTTGGCAGAGCCCCAGACGCAGCTGTAGTGGGGACGCAGGGAGTGTGTGAATCCTTGGGGCGGGCTGGCGGCCTCCAGGAGCAGTGCCCATGTCTATGCCCTCGCAGGAGCCAAGCCGATCCTGTTGTTGCCCCGATCGTAGACGGTGAAATAGAGCCGCAGGAAGACGTCCCCCAGGACCCAGTGCTTGATTCTTTTTGAGCTGTTCAAGTTGGGGTAGCAGATGCCCTTCTGCTCCTGCAGGGGAGGAAGCACAGCCTTTAGCCGTCCTTGCCACTGTCACCCCTCAGGCCTGGGTGGCAGCTTTATCTCACCTTCCCCTGGGCCCTCCGCTCAGCTGTTTGCTCTGAGAGAATCCCCACCTGCTCCCTATTCACCCGCTCATCCTTTAAGACCAAGCCCAGCACCTGGGCAGCCTTCCCGTGCCCCTGCCCCCTCCTTGGCAGTGCTGGCTGGGTGGGGAGGCTTCTCTGGGGCTCCCTGTGTCTTCAGCCTCAGCACACGGGCTTACAGGGTGCCCCTGGCCTGGCTCCTGGGGTACCTCCAAGGTTCGGGCTGAGACATTTTCAGTTTCTCTCTGAGGGCTGCCCAACCTCCTCGGCACACCTTGGGGAACCGGCACTACTTGAGCCTCGACTAAGTGCCAGCCAATGCCTGGTCTGTCTCTCACCTCCCCACAAAGGGGGCTTAGTCCCCATTTCTCAGAAAAGGTATTGGGGCCTACAGGGGGCATTTGCACCCTAGGACTAGGGTGACCATATGATCTATCACCCAACTCAGGACACTTGAAGATGGGAGGGAATACAGTTCCTGATTATGGGGGGACACAGGGAATGTCCCCAGTCAGCCCCCCTGTCCCTACTCTTTGGCTGTTTCCGATTCCTGCCTACGTTCCCTGTCCATCGGTCCGATGCCCGGGTTGAACTGACGCTCTGTGAGGGCCAGGCCATTAGCGCACCCTCTCCTGGAGCCTGGCCCTGAGCCAGCACAGGATGCTGCTCAGAGTTCTCCCAGTGTGAGGGGTGCCCAGACCCCCTTCTATCAAGAGGCTGTGCTGTGGGAGTTGCCCTCCCAGCCAGGGCTGCTGGGCAGCATCTGCAATGGCACAGCCCGGCCTCCAGGGGACCTCTCTGAGCCATGGCCCCAAGGGTCCCTCCAGCCCCAGAACTGAGAGCTGTCCCCAGAAGGGGCCCCTCACCCTCATGGTGTAGGCGCTGGCTGGCACTGGGTATGCGACGCCATTGATGGTGAAGACGATGTCAGGCAGGCTTGGGATGGCCTCGCAGCTGATGACGTACTGTCAGAGAGAGAGGGAGAGGGAGGTTGGCCCAGTGGGTGCTTCTCTGTGTGGGGAGCCCGGAGTGACCCTGGGTATGACCCTTCACCTTGCCTGTGCTGGTGGTCAGGGCGTTCATGCTCCTCAGAATGTTGCGGGTGGCTTTGGTTGGGCCAGTCACCAGTGAGGTCCCAGTATCCATAATGGCCTGGCAGCCACGGGGACAGGCCACGACCTTGCCATCCATGGAGATGCTGAGGACAGAGCAGGCGCCAGGGTCACTCATGGCCTCTCCCATCACGGCCCCTCCCTGCCGCCTGAGAATAGCCTGCAGCTCCCACCAGCCTCTGTGTCCCTGTGTTCGGCCACACTGGTCTTCCTGGGCTTCCTCTCAGGTCTGGAAGGCATTGTGCTCTTTGTGCCCCAGGGCCTTTGCACATGCTGTCACTCTTTCTAGTCCCTCCCTTGCCTCTTTGTCTGGCTGATCTCTCCTGTCCTCCAGGGGGCAGATCAATCACCACTTTTTCAGGGAAGTGTCTCCCCGATTAGATCAGGCCCCTCTCCTCTCTCAGAGATAGGCAGAGCCTTCCAGGTTTTCAGCATGCATCGTAGTGGGAACCCCAGTTGCTGCGCTTTAGTCACTCACACGTGTCTGCCCTCCCTTTCGGGTGAGCAAGCTGTGCCCTCTGCCCCTCCAGCGCACAGCACTTTGTTGACAGTGTTTGCCAAGGGAATGATGGGGGGCATGAAGGAATGAGGTCAACTGGAGACACGACCTGCTGTCCGACCAGTTAAGAAGGCCTCACGGCAAAGCCGGAGGTTCCCGGGAGGCAGGTGCTCAGAGAGGTGGGAGGGAGTGTTGTTTCCCCCCTGCCTCGCCCCCTCTCCCCAGACCCCTGGCCAGGCGATGCCTGAACCGGCCCAGGGTGCGGGATGTGGGCCCCAAAGCACAGTTTAAGCTTCTGTCTGACAGTCTTCACGCTCCCCCTCAGTGATCGCCCCCAGTTCTCAGCCAGACAAAGGGTCACATCCCCTGCCCCTTGGCACCCAGGACAGTTGGGTGGGGGTTCCTCTGTGTGATTGCTTTCAGACCCTAGGATGGCGCCCAGGTATCTCCAGCTCGGGGTAGTGAGGGGCAGAGCAGGGGGAGATGGTTCCTGTAGGTTAGCAGTCTCCCACTTGCCCGGCTCCCCTGTTTGCACGCTGGGGCCCTGTGTGCTGGAAACCCCTCAGGTCTGGTGACCAGGGATGTCCCTGTTCAGACGATGGAATCCTCCTTGACCCCTTCTCACTGCGCTTTCCCCGGTCTGGAGGGTGCAGCCCTCCCACGCCACCCCAGCCGCTGACCTGAGGCTGGACCCCAAGCCTGTCCCTCCTCCTGGTGCTCTGTGACTCAGGCCGATCCCATTTCTCTGATCAGGACCCTGGTCAGGGTGGTTATGAACCCATGTTGGTGTACATGCCTGTGTGTGTCTCTGTGTCAGGCTGAGTCTGTGTGTCTGCATGTGCGTGAGCGTATGTAGGTGTGGCTGTCACTGGCGTGGCCCTCAGCTGGGGGCGTGGGTGGGGGAGGCTTACCTGTCCACAGTGACCTGCCAGTAGCTCTGCTTGCTCACCGGAACCCACTGGAGCTCGCCCCGGTAGTAGGAGGGGTCCACGCCGCCAAACATCACCACACTGCCATTCTTCTCGTTGCTGGGGTTGTGGGGGAGGTATGGGATGGTGCTCTTGTGAGGGGAGGACAGTAGGTGGCATTTCTCTGGCTCAGTGACCGAGGGGTGCACTGACTAGTGGCCACCCAGCCACACAGCAGAGGACCCCGCGGAGCAGGCACTGCTGGGACCCCCACTGTTCTAATGGGAACTGGGCAGGAGGGCTGAACACATCCCAAGGTCAGTCCCCTGGCTATTGAGGAGCAAAGCCAAGGTTTGAACTTGAGATTCTGGTTGGGCTTTGGCCACCCACCTCTCTGAAGCCAGCCAGGTCCTCCCTGCAGTCCCAGAGGTAGAGGTGCCTGGGAGGCTGCTGTGCGGAGGGGCCCGGGTGGGCCCTCAGGCTTCACCAGGCTGGCTCACGGGCCTGCAACACTCCACACATGGCGCCCACACATGGCCCACTGCCCTGTCGTGAGATCCCTCATAGTTTTTCAACGAAGCCCCACATTTTCACTTGGCACCCCTTCCTGCAATGCAGTCACCTGTCCGGAGCTCAGGGGAACCGTGGCTGAGGGGAAGGAAACACCCCTGCCCGCCTCCCCTCCGGCTGCGTCAAATCGATCAGCACATCCCGTGGCCTTTCCCTTCCCCCTGTGTCCTGACTCCTCCACGGCTCCCCCTTTCCCTGCCTCCCTGGTCTGAGCTCCTGCTCTCTCTCTCCAAAGAGGCTGAGTAGCCTCGTCCCTGGCCTCCCTGCCTCCTCTCTGGTCCTTCATTGTCCAGCCAGTGCCTGGGGGGAGCTTTCAGAAACATAGGTGGGATCATGTGTTCTACTTGCCTAGGCCCCTGCCAGGGGCCTCCATTCCCACCTAAAACAAAGCCTGGGCGGCCCTGCCCCTGCCTGCCCCTCAGACTCCATGCTGGCTCGTACCGCGGCCTGCATCTTCCTCCCATCCTGCCCGCCCCACAGCCACAATGCCCTGCTGGTCCTCTGTTGGGCCTGGGCCTCTACTCCCCCATGGCCTGGCCTCATTCAGAGAGGTCCTCGCACTGCCCGTCTGAAACCACGCTCTCATCTCTGTGGTGCAGTCACCATGTTTTACCGCTTTCCCAGAAGCAGCCACCACCTGGCATGTGTTATCTTTTTTCTTTATTTCTTTAATAGCTTCTTGTCTGCCTTTTCTCCTTCTCACTTGTCTGTGTCTTGTGCATAGAGAAGTACCCAGCGCATACTAGGTGCTCCATGGAGATTTGTTAAATGGCTCACCTCCTTGTTTCAGTACAGACACCCCAGTGGCTCAGCACATGCTGCATAGTCTGGGGCTCAGGCCCCCACCGAGCCCACAGCCTCACCCACATTTTACATCATACACATGATCTGCCCACTGGGTCCCCTCAGGTTTGTGCTGCTCCCTCCACCTGCTCCAGACCCTCAACCCACCAGGGAGGCTGTGACTGGAGACTTACTGAGGGTCTGACCACCTGCCAGAGGTGACAGCCGCAGCTGAGTTAGAATCCCACCACTACCAGTGTGTGGCTGGGCAATTCTGTGCAAAGATCCTCTCTGAGCCTCAGTTCCTCAGTTTCCCTGTTCATCCAAGGAGGGACTAGAAAACAGGGGTCGGCAAACTTTAAAAAATGCTAGATTAGGAGAAACCAAGACGACGGCATAGGTGAATACCTATACTGATACCTCATACAACAATTTCAAAACTACAACTAAAAGACAAAGCAGACATCATCCAGAACCACCGGAACGCCAGCTGAGTCTAAATTCTACAACTAGTAAGAAGAAGAAGAAAAAAAAAGAAAAAGAAAAAGAAAAAAAAAGGACACAGATGCAGGATCAGCAGAGTGCAGAAGTGCAGAGACACAGAGATGTGCGCACATCAGAGGAAGGGCCCGGTGGCTGAATACGTGACTGGCTGTCTCAAACTGGAGCGAATCAAAGGCTCCCCATAGTGCTGAAATCCAGTCCCAGGCAAGACTTGGGGAATCCAGACACATATGGGGAGAAACTGGACTGTCTGGCAGCAGGCAGGGCTGGAGAGCAGCTTTCTCTTAGAGTTGCATGCAGCCATAGCTGCAGGGCACTGAGACCCAGGGGAACTGCAGAAGACAGAAGTGCGGAGATGCAGAGATGTGCATGCGAGAAGAAAGGCTGAATGGCTGGTTACGTGGCTTTGATAGTTCCGGAGGGAAACAGGGCCTCCCGACTGCACTGTACTGCAGTTCCAGAGGTGCGTGCACCATTGCTGTGGGGCTAGGAGACCCAGAGGAACTGTGAAAGACAGGTGAGGAGACATGCGTGGAGAGGGATCGGGCAATTGAACATGTGGCTGCCTTTCTTGTTCCGGAGGAAAACAAAGCCTCCCAAATACACATACTCCAGTTCTGGGTGAAACTTTGGGTACCCATACTCATTCAGGGAGAAACTGGACTTGTGACAGCAGGCAAACTCGAGAGTAGCTTTCTCTCAGAGGTGCGTGCAGCCATTGCCTCGGGACCCTGAGACCTAAACCACTTAGGGAGGGGCCGATGGGAAACCTAGGCTGCCTGCTTTGTCCTGAGACCCCACCCCATCCAAACTGAGCACAGAAGCTCTCCCAGTGTAGACACAGCTGATCCTCACAGCCAATTGGCCTGGAGGTCAACTCCACCCAGTGATAACAACAACAATCAGGGCTTAACTACAAAAAGATTGTGCAGCCCATAAAGGGGTACACCAAGAGTGTCCACCTCGGTTAACTGGGGAGGCAGAGCCACTGGGCCCAAAGGACACCTCACACACAGAGCCACTCAATCAACTCAGGGAAGCAGCTAAAATGTGGAGACAAAGAGGCAGATCACAAATGAAAGAAATGGAGGAAAGCAGAAGACTGGACATAGAGTTTAAAATCACATTTATAAGGTTACTCAATAATCTGCTAAAAATCTCTGAGGAACTTAGTGAGACCTTTAAAGATCTTAATGAGAATGCCAAAATAAAAAAAAAGAAAATAAATAAAAAGAAAATGGAAAAGGACCAGACAGAAATTAAGCATACACTTTCTGAAATAAATAATATATAGAAATTCAACAGTAAACCAAAGGATTCCAAGAATCAAACCAAAGATTTGAAACATGAGGAAACAAAAAAACACTCAACCAGAAAAAGAAAAAGAAAAGAGTCCAAAAATATGAAGATAGTGTAAGGAGCCTATGGGACAACTTTAAGCATACCAACATCTGACTTATTGGGTGCCAGAAGAAGAAAGAGAGTAAAATATTGAAAACTTATTAAAAGAAATAGTGACAGAAAACTTTCCCTACCTGGTGAAAGAAAAAGACTTACAATTCCAGGAAGTGCACAGAACCCCAAACAAAAGGAATCCAAGGAGGAGGATCACACCGAGACATATCATAATTAAAATGCCAAGGGAAAAAGACAGAGAGAGAATCTTACAAGCAGCAAGAGAAAAACAGTTAGTAACCTACAAGGGAGTACCCATAAAGACTGTCAGCTAATTTCTTAACAGAAACTATGCAGGCCAGAAGGGAGTGGCAGGATTATTCAAAGTGATGAACAGCAAGAAACTACAACCAAGATTATTCTACCCAGCAAAGCTATCATTGAGAATTGATGGTAAGATAAAGGGCTTCACAGACAAGAAAAAAACTAAAGGAATTCATTAACACCAAACCAGTATTGTATGAAATGCTGAAAGGTATTCTTTAAGAAGAGGAAGAAGAAGAAAAAGATAAAGATAAAAATTATGAACATCAAATACATGTCTATCAACAAGTGAATCTAAAAATCAAGTGAATAAAGAATCTGAGGAACAGAATAAACTGGTGAATATAATAGAATCAGGGGCATAGAAAGGGAGCGGACTGACAAGTCTCAGGAGAAATGGGTTATGAAGGGTTAGGGAAAAAATTGGACAAAAATCTTACATCTATGGATGAAGACAGTGGGGGTGGATAAGGGCATGGGGTGGGTGGGGAATCAAGTGGAGGGGAGCTATGGGGGGCGGGGAGAGGAACATATGTATTGTAATAATCTGAACAATAAAGACATTTTAAAAAAAAGTGCTAGATTATGCCCTAGCTGCTTTGGCTCAGTGAATAGATCATAGGCCTTTGGACAGAAAGGTCTCGGATTCGACCCCTGGCCCTGGCAGGGGCGCATGTAAGAGGCAACCAATTGAACTGTCTCTCTTGCATCAATGTTTTTCTCTCTGTGTGTCTCTCCTCCTCCCTTCCACTCTCTCCAAAAATCAATGGGGAAATATCCTTGGCTGAGGATTATCAAAAAGCAAAATAAAGTAAAAATGCTAGATTGCAAGTGCTGAATGCTGCCATTGTAGCGCAGAAGCAGCCAGAGAGAAGATGTGACTGAATGATCAGGGCTGTGTTCCAATAAAACTTTATTCATAAGAACAGGTGGCGGGCCACTTGTTCTCAGGGGCCACTATTTGCTGACCCCTGGACTAGACTGTCCTCAGGAAACATGGGGCTGGGTCATCTACTGTTTCTCAGGAGCCTGAAGTCATCCGAGAAAGGGGCTTGACCAGGCAGGCTTACCTGCTTAGGTAGAAGGCGAAGAGGTTCTCAGATATGAGGCTTTGGTTCCACATGCTGTCGAAGACCGGGGTGGTGTTTCTGAGGGCGATGTCAGGATAGGCCAGGCCCAGGATGCCGTCAGAGACCATGAATTCCAAAGACAGGCCGGACTCCGTCTCGCTCAGGCCAAATGCCTGGGATTTGCACACAAGGTCCCCAACCTGTCAGGGAGAGGGTGGTCTCATGTGAAGATTTGGGAAGCAGAGCTGAGTTGGGCCAGGGGCAAGGCCGCTGGGAGGTGATGGCACCTGCACCCCAGGCATCAGCTGAGGTGCGGCTGTGCTGGAGGTGCCGGAGCAGCACGCACCGTGCATTGCTGAGGAGTCTGACCTTCGTCCACCCTCCTGCTAGCAGCACTCCAGGCAGTAAAACACCCCCATCCCCCTGCACGGTGGGGCCATGGGGAGTGGGCTAAGCGGCCTCCCCTTGCAGGCCCCAATGAGCAGAGAGGGGGAGGGTCTTGTTTTTGGCATTCCCGGGATCTGGTGGCAGAAACCGAGTGTAATTTTCGCTGCGATTCCCTGTGGGTTTGCACCCCAGGTGTACACAGGGTCGCCGAGTTCTTGTGAAAAGACTGCCTGGGGTCCTCGCTGCTTTGCTCAGTGGATAGAGCTACAGCCTGTGGACTGAAGGGTCCCGTGTTCGATTCCAGTCACGGGTTGTGGCTGGATCCCAGTAGGGAGCGTGGGGAGGCAGCCGATCAATAATTCTCTGTTATCATGAATTTTCTCTCTCTTCCTCTCCTCTCCCTTCCTCTCTGCGATCAATGAAAAAAAAAAAAAAAGGCTTAAAGGGAAACATGCACGCGCGTGCTTGTGTTTCTGTGTGTGCATATGTGTGTATGCAGGTATTTGTGCACATGTGCATGTTTGTAGGGGTGTGTGTGTGTGTGTGTGTGTGTGCCTTATATGTGTTTGAAAGTATGCATGTGTGTGTGTGTCAGGCACTTTGGGCAGGAAGCCCAGTTTTTTTAGATTCTCAAAGGCCCCCAAAGTAAGACTCATGGCCGTCCTGCACCTTTGGCCCTGCATCCCCTGCCCTGGTGTCTGGAGCGCTCGGCACCCCCGGACTCCCAGATGCGTTCTGCCCTCTCCCGGAAAATCCCCCACAGCAGCTGAGCCCTGACTCGCACCCCAGCTGTGCTGCTCCAGGTGTGGGCCTTGGGCAGTCCCGCCCCCTGTCCCTCGGGTCCCTCCACTGTATGCAGGGAGCAGGATCGCCTGCCCTGTGGGCTTGTTGTGGGATTAGAGTCATTATTACCACAGACATGCCCAGCACAGCGCCTGGCACAAGCTGGGAATATAAACATGGCTTTTCCGCCCGGCTGGCGTGGCTCAGTGGCTGAGCATCCACCTATGAACCATGAGGTCATGGTTCCATTCTGGTCAAGGGCACATGCCATGCTTGTAGGCTCGATCCTCAAGGGGGCTTGCAGCAGGCAGCCGATCAGTGAATCTCTCACATCTTTGATGTTTCTATCTCTCCTTCTGCCTTACTCTCTAGAATTCACAAAAATATATATTTAAAAAATAAATAAAATCGGGTTTGCCCTCACCTCTCCCTGCTCCCAGCAAAACCAGCCTCGAGCTCACCACGGCCAAGAGCTGCAAATGCCCGCCTCCTGCCATGACCGCTCGCTGGTCTGGCCACTCGGGGGCTTGTCCACAGAGCACTGTCTCCCCAAGGCAGATGGCCAGCTGCTGGGGGACTCAGGGGGAGACGGTGCAACCAGCTGACCCTGCACCTGGTGCCCTGAGCAGTGAGCAGAGGTCCAGGCCCCGCCCTGCCGCAGCCCCGCCCCCACTCACCCGCACGTCGTCGTAGCCCAGCACCCCGATCACTCTGCCGGACCCGTACAACAGGTCGAAGGGCTGGGTAGTGTTCTGGAAGGTGGAGGACGCCTGAGGGTCAAAGGTTCTGTGTGTCCCTGCGGATGGACAGAAAGTGTTCTTCAGTGGCCAGAGCATGGCCAGGGAATGGGCGGGGGTGGGGCCTGGGGCCATGAGGGGTGTGGGCACTTACCACAGGCACGACTGGAGCAGTAGATGGAGGGCACCCATAAGTCAGCTGAGCCCGTGTCAAAGACGACCCTGAACTCCTGAGGGGGCGTTCCAATGCTGATGGTGCCAACGTAGTACAGCTGCCAGGCAGGAGAGGGTGGTTAGATCAGGCCAGGCTGCCCAGTCAGCCCCGAGAGGCCTGCCCGGATCAGGCCGTCTCTGCCTCCTGGAATCGCTTTCCCACCAGCCCACTACACAGCCGCGGCTCAGGCGGTGCCTTCATTTGAAAGTTTCCCACGTTCCTCTGCAGCTCTGTAAATCCTCCCAGCCTTCAAGGCCCAGCTGGCCTGCTCCCTCCTCTGGGAAGCCCTCCCAGGTCACCCAGGCCTCTGTCTCACAACTGCCATTATCAGAGGCCACCCTTTGGTTTGGCCTTTATGTTCTTGCAGACCAGGCCAGACCCTCTGTTCTCGGCAGCCATAGCACCCTGCTGGTGTGTCATAGCCTCCACACTGCAGGGGCTCAGGGACTCTTTGCTGGGGACATTCTCAGGACGTCCTCTGCCTGGGTGTCAAACTGGAGTTCCCATTGGAGGAAGCAATGCCTTGTTCAGAAGGCCCAGCGACGTGTCCTTGGCCCAAGATGGATGTGTGCCTGCCGCCTGACCATGGCTGGACTCTTGTCACCACAGACCTAGAGCCAAGGGGGAGTGTCTTCTCCCCCGGGAGGGTCCCAGGTTTCCCAGCTTCGCTGCCTGCAGGAGCCCCTTCCCCTCCAGGCTCCCAGCTCTATGTGAACCCCAGCACCGGGCCAGCACCAGGGAAGGCTGCGGGCTGGGCCCTGCACACTCACGTTCAGGTAGTTCCTCATGGGTTCCTTGGTGATGCCCTTTTTGCTCAGGAACTTGTAGGCGTGGCTGTAGGGGTGTTGCTGGTGATTGTCTCTCAGCAGGTCCTTCTCCCGCAGGCTCTCCCGTGTGGACTCGATCTTCGTCAGAGGGATGCTTCCCCGGGAAAGACAACAGATAAGATAGCAGCTCCCCACTCCGCGGTTCAGTGTGGCCGCCATGCGTGGTGCTGGAGCCACACCGCGTCTTTCCCGAGGATGTTATGAGGGGCCATCTTATGAGGGCCAGCCCCCCACTAACGCAGGCAAAGGCCAGACGATGGCCCAGGCCTGAGCGCAGGGCCTGTTGCAGCCCCGGGGAAGCCCCAGGCCCGTGCCCAGCCTCCCTTTCCCCATCGTAAAGAAGTGGGGTGAGGACAGGCCTCCCGCGGGGTGTCTGGGGCTTTGAGGGAGAGGATGGACCGAGGCCCCTGACCGAGGGACCTTGACCCTGAGCCAGTGCTGTCTCCATTGTCATCTGACCGACTCCCTCTTCAAGAAGCCCTGCAGGGAACGAGGTGGGGATCACCACGTTTACAGGAGGAACCTGAAAGGCAGGGCATTGGTGACCTGGCTGTGGCCCCCTGCTCATTAAGGCAAAACTGGGTCCCGGGGACCCTCTGGACCCTTCTGCAGGGTCAAACAGAGGGGAGGCTGGAGGTGGGCGAGGGAGCCCGGAGATGGGGAAGAAAGTATCAACCAACTGGATGTTGTGCAGCCCCCAGACCTGTCCCCAGACCCCTGTCCCCCAGTGAAGATAGCTAGCTACTCATCAATGCATGGAGATGAGGCCCTGGCCAGTGGGGCTCAGGGTATAGAGCATACAAGTGGGGACCGAAGGGTCCCGGGTTGGATTCCGGTCAAGTGTGCATACCGTGGTTGCAGGCTCTCCCTCAGCCAGGGCCCTGGTCAGTGCTGATTGCAGGAGGCAACCAATAGATGTGTCTCTCTCACATCGATGTTTCTCTCTGTCTCTCCCCTTCCCTTCCTCTCTCCCTAAAAATCAATGGGAAAATTGATTTTTAGGGAGAATTAAAAATAAAAATAAAATAATACAGGGAGACGTGAACTTTAGAACAGGGTTTGATGGTGTTCCCGTGTCCACCCCCGGGCAGTGGAGGGAAGGACAAGGGGACAGTGAGAGAGAGGCCGGGAGAGAGCTGTCCCCATACTCACGTGACCAGGCACTCGGAGAGGGCCACCAGGCTGAGGAGCCCGATCCACCACATCGTGCGTTATTCCCTCCTTCCTCCGGAAGGATCCGGTTTGGAGCATGCGGGGATGGGCCAGCGAGGCTGATATATACGCTCTGACCTGAGCTCATGATCCACTGGGAGGGCTGCTGATGGCCCCGATAAAACTCTCCAAGCCTCCCGATAAGATCTTTATTCCCATCAGCACTGTAAACCTGCTGATAGAATCTCTATTCCCATCAGCGTTCTGGGAAGGGGTGGGTCAGTGCTGGGGGGTATGGGGTCTGGGGGAAGACTTAGAAAAAGTTCAGAATACAGAGATCTCTATCAGAATCTCTTCCTTGGGGCATGGCTGGGGGACAATCTCAAACCACATGACCTCCAGAGGAGTGGGGGGACCCTGCTCACTTGGAGATAAAGCCGCCAATCCTATCCAATGAAGAGGGACTGTGCTAAGTGACCATCACGGGGTCACAAAATGACTGCACCCACAGCTGAGGCCACGTTCCCATAAGGATTCTTAAGGAGCAATCAGCAGGGACCTAATGCTATAACCTCCGGCCTTCCCCCCCCCCCCCCCCGGGGGTCCTGACAAGGGCCCTCAGGCCATGCCTCCCCCCAACAGAGCTTCACAGATCTCTAGATAAGCTTCCAGTCCTGGTGTTGGGCCAGGGGACTTGAGGCTGCTCCCCCCACCCAGCACCTGGTCTGGGGTCCTCAGGCCGCAACCTCCACATGGTGGGGCTTTACAGCTGAATTCAGACCCCCCCCCCCCCCCCAAGCACCAGACCGGGGGACCTCAGACCACACCTCGGTCCAGCAGGGCCTGACAGGGGACCTCAGACCATGCACCCCACCCAGCAGGACTTGATGGGGGACTTGAAGCTGCACCCCTCTCGTGGTGCTAGGCTGGGGTACCTAAGACTGCGCCGCCCCCCCTCTCCCGCCTGGAGGGGCTTGACGAGGAACCTTAGGCCATGACCCCCACCCAGCAGGGCTTGATAGGGGATCTCAGACTGTGTCACCCACCTTGGAGGACCTCAAGGCATGCCCCCAGTCCTGGGGCAGGGCAGCCTGGCATTGTGCAGCCCCTAGACCTGTCCCTGGACCTCTCGCCCCCCAGTGCATGTGGCTAGCTACATATAAATGCATGGAGATGTGGCCCTGGCCAGTGTGGCTCAGTGAATAGTGCATACAGTTGGGGACTGAAGGGTCCTGGGTTGGATTCAGGTCAAGGGCCATGGGATCTGAGGCTATAGGGTGCGGCAGCCTTGTGAGATCCCGTCTTGTACCCACAGGGAAGCAGGGGGCAGGGTGCTAAACCCAGGTTGGCAGCCAAAGGAAGTTTGTTGTGAATGGGTGACCGGGACTCGCAGCCCATACCCAACACCTGTCAGGTGGCCGCCGGGGAGGCTGTGCCTCTGGAAGCCATGCGGTGGGAAACGTGTGGCTCTACCAAGAGGCAGTCCACAAATGGTCCCATCACGTCCTGGCCTCTCGGCCCGTATTCAGGGACCCACAGCTCAGCCGTGGTCAGCTCCTCTCTTCTCATGGCGTGAACACTGATCCCCACACTCCGCGGCACACCAGGGGCACGTACGTGTGCTGATCTGACATAGAAAAGTAGGTGTGATTGTGACCCGTTCGCAGCGACGGCTATTGTGTTGGCTCTTGTTGTTTTGTAATCTAGGAAAAGGGGTCCGTGCTCCCGAAATGGCGGTGTTAGTCAGGTTCTGTGCTTTTTTGGGGGGCTGCACATTTTCACGTTCTTGTGGTACCTGTTGAAAATCGCTGACATAGATAAAGGCACCAGGAAGCAATCGTTTATAACTATTCCTTGAGACATTCTTCAAATCAAACAACCAACCCCCTCACCTGTCAAATAAGTAAAGGCCATAAAAAGGTGTGTGGGCGGGAAGCTGTTACTTATTATAAATCTTAAGAAACAACACATGTGTCCATTTTCTAGATCCTGATTTGAATAAATGAGCTGTTTTAAGGCATTTTGTGAGAGAGTCAGGAAGATTTCAGCAGGGACTAGATCTTAGGTGAGATTGGAGTTAATTTTGTTTGGGGTAACAGAGAATTGTAGGCCTATACAGAGGGCCCCCAAAAAATGTATGGACGCATCACCAGCTGGTAGCTCCCTTGTGAAAATGAAATGCACGGGGAGAGGGCACAGCACCCTGGTCCTGTGGGTGCCGGGCTTTCGCCAGGAGCCAGAGCAGGAGGCCAGTCATTAGGGAGCTGTCCCCTGTGCTGCGGGCGCGGTGGGGCTGGGCCTCCGGCTTCTCCGCGCCCCGGGCCCAGGAGAACCTCCTGCTGTTGACAGCCCTGCTCTCCCTCAGGCTGCACACAGCACGGAGGCCGCTCTTCTGGGACGGGTGACTCATTGCTGGTAACTCACTGGCCAATGTCTGATGAGGTCACCGTGAGGGTGCCTGTGTCCCGGATGCCCGCTGTGTCCGGTGTGGAAGGACGACTGGACAAGTAGCAATTTACTGGGCTTGGTTACCGTGGGCCTTTGCAGTTGCTGTTCCCCGCCTGGAACGTTCTTCTCCCAGCGCTATGCTTGGCTGGCTCCTTCTTCATATCCAGCTGTCCTTCTGCACTGCCCCTCCTCGGTGAGGTGTGCCCTGGCCACGCTGGTCCCCGGGCACAGACCTTGACTCATTTGAGGAGCCCAGAGACATCGAGTGCATGTTCCCAAGTGGGAGCCCTATGGGGTGAGAATGTCCCCAATTTACAAATGAGCAAACCGAGGCTGGGGGAGATAAACTGCCTTGAGGACATAAGGCCAGTGAGTGCCTGGGAGGTGAACCTAGGTCTGCCCAACAGATTTCCTGCTTAGAGCACACTGCTGCTTGGAGCTGGAGGTCCAGGAGGTGATGCCCAGGAGGGATGGGAGATGCCAGGGTCACTAATAAGGAAGTCTCGTCCATGAAAGCTGTCCATTCTCTTAGTGAACACTCTTTGTTGTTGTTTAAATTGATTTCAGAGAGGAAGGGAGAGGGAGAGAGTGAGAGACCAACATCAATGATGAGAATCACTGATTGGCCGCTTCCTGGGCACCCCCCACTGGTGTAAGGGCCACAACCCAGCATGTGCCCAGATGGGGAATCGAACCATGACCTCCTGGTTCCTAGGTCTGTGCTCAACCCCTGAGCCACTCTGGCTGGGCAGACCCTCTGTCCTTTGGAGAATAATGCTTGGCATTTTCCTGCTCTTAAAAGCTATCACTGAAAACATCCTAATGAGAGCATAAGATGAGAGGAGCAATCACCCATGTGCTACCTCTTGGATATGACTGTTGTCACATATACGTTGGTCTTTTTGTGCCATATGTGTGGCATTAGCAGTAGTTCATGCTGCTGTGGGACAGACACTGCCCCAAAGGTTTTCTGCAGGTTATCACATGGAATCTTCACCACAGACCCAGAAGGTGGGACTGGTTTTTCCTGTCGTGGTTTAGGTGTATTATTGGTACAGCCTGATTGACATTTGTTTCCCACCTCATAAAAGCCACCATTTCAGGCATGTAGTTTTGTATGATTTAGGGTATTCATGGAGCTGTATGGCCATCCCATGATTTAATTTTAGAACATGTTTGAGACCCCAAAATGCAATGCCATACACATTAATAGCCAACCTTCATTTCCAACCCTGCCCTTGCCCCCAAGCACAAGAGAAGATTCACATTTTATTAACCAGAGGCCCGTTGCATGGAGATTTGAGCAAGAATAAGCCTTCCTTTTCCTGGCTTCACTCTTGACTGCTTGGTAGCCAACAAGTCCTCAATCCTGGCTAGAGTGCCACTCCTGTGTCTCCCTCTGTCTGCCACCCTTCCCTTCATAGCAGTCATCCAGCCCTTCCCACTGCTCCCTGCCTACATATGCAAATGAACCCACCATGTTTTTTTGGGTTAATTTGCATACTTACTCATAATAGGCTGTTGGACATCGTGGACTTATAGTCAGTGTGCATATTTTCATTTATTAGTGTAGATTTTAAAAAGAATAAATCTTTATTGCTCAGATTATTACAATTGTTTCTCCTTCCCCCCCCCATAGCTTTCTTTCACCTGGTCCCCCCCTCCCCTGCTACTTCTCCCCCCCCCCCCCCCCCGAATTGTCCTCATTCATAGGTGTAAGATTTTAATCCAGTCTCTTCCTGCACCCCTGCACCCCTTTCCCCCTGATAATTATCAGTCCACTCCCTTTCTTTGCCCCTGATTTTATTATATTCACCAGTTTATTCTGTTCCTCAGATTTTTAATTCAGTTGATTTTTAGATTCACTTGTTGATATATATGTATTTGTTGATCATAATTTTTATCTTTTTTCTTCTTCTTCCTCTTATTAAAGAATACCTTTCAGTATTTCATATAATACTGGTTTGGTGGTGATGAACTCCTTTAGCATTTTCTTATCTGTGAAGCTCTTTTATCTGCCCTTCAATTCTGAATGATAACTTTGCTGGATACAGTAATCTTGGTTGTAGGTTCTCGCTATTCATCACTTTGAATATTCCTTGCCACTCCTTTCTGGCCTGCATAGTTTCTGTTGAGAAATCAGCTGATAGTCATATGGGTGCTCCTTTATAGGTAACCAACTGCTTTTCTCTTGCTGCTTTTAAGATTCTCTTGTCTTTTTCCCTTGGCATTTTAATTATGATGTGTCTTGGTGTGGTCCTCTTTGGATTCCTCTTGTTTGGGGTTCTGTGTGTTTTCTGTCCTTGTAAGTCTATTTCTTTCACAGGTCGGGGAAGTTTTCTGACATTATTTCTTCAAATAGATTTTCAATATCTTGCACTCTCTCTTCTGGCACCCCCATACTTCTGATGTTGATACGCTTGAAGTTGTGCCAGAGACTCCTTACACTATCTTCAACTTTCTGGATTCTCTTTTCTTCTTGCTTCTCCAGAGGAGTGTCCTTTGGCTCTTTGTATTCCAAATCTTTTACTGGATTCATGTGTTCCTCCAGTCTGCTGCTGGATCTCTGTATAATATTTTTTATTTCAGTCAGTTTATGTTTAATTTCTAGTTGGGTCTCATTAAATTTATTGGCCTTTTCTAGGAAATTCTTGAAAAACCTTATAACTGTGGTTTTGAACTCTATATCTAGTCTTTTGTTCTCCTCCATCTCTTTCATTTGAGATCTATTTCCTTGTCTCAGCATTTTCGCTGCTTCCCAGAGTTGGTAGGATGGCTTTATGTGTTTGGTGTCCTATATGGCTCAGTGGGTCAGCCTCCTCAGTTACCTGAGGTAGACACTCTTTGTGCTCTCCTTTGTGGACTGCGTGAACAGCCTTGTTGTAGTTAAGACTTGATTGTTGTTAGTATCACTGGGAGGAATTGACCTCCAGGCCCATTTGATGTATCAGCTCTGTCTACTCCAGGATACCTTCTGTATTGGAGACAGTCTTATAGGATCAGACTTGCAAAATTGCAAAAGCCTCTGTGCTCAGCTTGGATGGGGCGGAGTCTCAGGGCTGAGCTGACAGTCTTGGCTTCCTGTCAGCCCTGCCCTTGTGCGCTCTCCTGAGTTGCTGCCTGACCTCTGTCTTCCTCGGCTTCCCTGAGTTTCCACCTGACCGTTCAGATTCTCTGTGCAAGAGCGTGGTTGCCCCAGGGTCTCGCCCGGAATTGGGTTGGGTCTCTGGGTAGTCTGGAGTTTCTGACTCCTTCAGCTATGGAGAGGCAACAGCAACCTCTGAGGTTAGACCTCTCTGCGCGCACACACTCACTCACGTGCGACTGTAGACCCTGCCCGCTGCGGCGCCCGGCAACCCCAGTCTCTGAGTCTCCAGGTGCCTTTCTTTACAGTCCGGACTCCAAATATATGAGCCTGCGTCCACGGGGTTTTGGCCGAGGTTGGGTTCAGTACAGTCAGAAAGGGTTCAGTGCAATCGGGGACTTCCTTTCACCTCCCACCAGCAAGGCATTCGACCGTCCTTCTACCACGAGCATCTCCCTACCTCAGTGCTTTGCGGCTCCCAATCTGATTCGTGAGCCTCTCTCCTTTCTAGTTGTAGATTTCGCACTCTGCCAGCTTTCTAGTGGTTTTAGATGATGTCCATTCTGTCTTTTAGTTGTTGTTTTGAAATTGTTGTGCGAGGTGGAAGCTTAGGTACTTACCTAGGCCACCATATTGGTTTCTCTGCTGATTGTTTTTTTATTGTAGTAAGAACATTTAAATAAGATCTACTCTCATTATAAATTTTCTTATTCTCACCAGAGAATATTTTTTCCATTGATTTTTAGAGAGAGTGGAAGTAGGGGAAGAAGAGAGGGGAAGAGTCAGAGAACCACTGATGTGAGAGAACCATTGATTGGTTGCCTCTTGAACCTGTGGCCCATTAATGTGCAGGACAACACTCTAACCACTGAGCCACATTGGGCAGGACTCAACAAAATTTCAAGTGCACAATGGAGTATTGCTAACTATAGGCACAGTGCTACATAATGGACCCTTAGACGTACTCACCTTGCATAACCCTCGTTACTGAAATATTCCTGTTGAATAGCAACTCTTCACTGCCTCTTCCCCTCACCCCTGACAACCACCAGGCCACACTCTGCTTCTGTGAGCCTGATGATGGAAGGCCCCTCAGATGTGTGGGTGCACACAGTACCCCGCATTCTGAGACTGGCTTACTTCACTCAGCGTAAGCCCCAGGCCTCAGCCTGTGCAACTTGCAGGGTTTTCTTCTCATTGTCATTGAGTAATATTCCATCACAAGGCCGTACCTCGGATTGCTGATCCCGGCACCAGGTGATGGGCGCTTGCCTGCTTCCATGTCTTGGCTATTGTGAACAGCGCTGTCAGGGGTCCACATCCTGATTTTAATTCTTTGGGAGAAAAATCCAGAATTGCGGTTGCCTGGGGTCTTATAAAACTTGGACGTTTAACTTTTGGAAGCACCGCCACATCGTCTAGTACAGTGTTTTTCAACCTTTTTTGGGCAAAGGCACACTTGTTTCATGAAAAAAATCACGAGGCCCACCACCATTAGAAAATGTTAAAAAATTTAACTCTGTGCCTATATTGACTATATATAAAGTAATTCTCTTGAATAGGAATCAAATAAACACAAAGAAAGTATTTTATAATTACTTTATTATGAAATATTAAGTAAACAAAATAGTGAAAAATTGTAAAATTCTTGTCTTGTCTGCACCTACGGCACACCAGGCAACATCTGCCGCGGAACAGCGGTTGAAAAACACTGGTCTAGTACAGTGGCTGTACCACGTGACACTCACAGTAACCGTGCACGGGCTCCACGTCTCACTGACCCGTGCTGGCGTGTGTGTCTTGGCGGTGGCCACTCCCAGGTGTGGAGGGATAGCTCATTGTCGTTTGCATTTGCGTTTTCTTGATGATTAATGAGGCAGGAGCTATTCTTACCGCAGAATTACAGAATAGAAAACCGATATCCAGAGTGAGCTGACCTAAGGTCACAAGACTGGTCACAGGACTTACTGAGGCCCTCTTATGTGCCTGGTACAGACAGGTCAGAGCTGGAACTTGAACCCGGACCAGAGAGCCCTGGGCTGTGCTGGCGTGCCCTGGCAGCCCTGTCTTCCAGGCCCTTCCGGAACATGTATCCCTGCTATTTGGGGTTCTGCCCTTTCCTCCTAATGTCCTAATAGAATGCTCTCATAGCTTTCAACCTGCTTCTAAAACATGGCTGTGAGGCAGGGTGGTGTTGGAGGGCAGCCACAAATTCTTCTGTCACCCACAGCAGCCTTCGCCAACCTCCTGTCCAGGGCCACTGGTGGTCCCTGACGCCCCAAGACTGGGGACCCTGAGTCCTACAGCATGTCTGCACTTCTGGGGACCACTCTGCCCAGCTCCAGCCAGTGGTTCTGGAGGAAACTGTGACTAACCATTCAGCAGGGGCCATGTGTGCAAGTGGAGCCAATCATAGTCCCCCATGTCCTTCCATGTGATTGGTGCAGGGCTGGATACATGACCTGAGGTGGGCCAATCGGACCCCTCCTTGGTACTCTGCTCATTTCCAAGCCTTCAGGAGGTGAAAGCCTGGTGCGGGAGTGGCAGAGCCCTTGGCCTGGAGCAGGCGGCCAGGGGAAGGCTGGCAGGAGAGGAATCAAAGGAGTTGAAAGGCAGAGGCCAGAGGGAGGAGAGAGAGTGGGCCAGTGGGTTTTGATTTCTTGGTGCAGCCACCACGCTGTGCGGACCTGCTTTGGTTCTGCATTCGGGGTCCTGGGCATCCCGGTTCAGGTCCTTTCTGATTAAGCGGGTTGGAGTCGGGTCCCCTCCCTGTTGGTCCAGAGGAGATTCCAGAGCCCTGCCTGCCTGTGCCGCACTTCCCAGACCCACGCAGAGGCACCATTTGTATGAGCGCCATTGGAAATGAGACCGTTTATTAGAAATCAATGTTTTTTTTAAACATCAGTGAGTTTATAATTTTTTAGAGTGAGAGAAAGAAACATCGATGGGAGAGAAATATCAATGGACTGCCTATTGCATGCCTCCTCCTGGGGTTTGAGCCCAGAGCATGTGCCAGTGACCTGTGAGTGCTTGGGATGAGGCTCAATCACTGAGCCACACCGCTGGGCATAAACACAGTCCTTTCTTTTCCACTGAGAAGAGGGCTTGGCAAAGCCCCAGACACAGCTGTGCTTGGGACGCAGGGAGTGTGTGAGTCCAGGGGCGGGCCGGCAGCCTCCAGCAGTGCGCCCACGTCTATGGTCTCGCAGGAGCCAAGCCGATCCTGTTGTTGCCCCGATCGAAGACGGTGAAATAGAGCCGCAGGAAGACGTCCCCCAGGACCCAAGAGCTGGTGAAGTCTGAGCCATGCAAGTTGGCGAAGCAGCTGCCCGTCTCCTCCTGCAGGGGAGGAAGCACAGCCCTCAGCCATCCTGTCCCAACACCGTCAGGCCTGGGCGGCAGCTTTATCCCGCTTCCTCTGGACCCTCTGCTCAGCTGTTTGCTCTGAGAGAATCCCTGCCTGCCCCCCTTTACCCCACTCATCCTCCAAATTCAAGCCCAGCGCCTGGACAGCCTTCACCAGCTCCTGCCCCCTCCTTGGCACTGCCGGCTGGGTGGAGAGGCTTCCCCGGGGCTCCCTGTGTCTTTAGCCTCAGCACACAGGCTTACAGGATGCCCCTGGCCTGGCTCCTGGGCTCCCTCCAAGGCTTCGGGCTGAGAGATTTTCAGTTGCTCCCTCTGTGGGCTACCCTGACCTGCAGGGCACACCTTGGGGAACTGGCACTTCTTGAGCCTCAACTATGTGCCAGCCAATTCCCGGTCTTTATCTCACCTCCCCACAAGGGGGGCTTAGTCCCCATTTCTCAGAAAAGGTATTGGGGCCTACAGGGGGCATTTGCACTCTAGGACTAGGGTGACCATATGATCTATTTCCCAAGTCAGGAAACCTGGGGATGGGAGGGAATACAGTTTCTGATTATGGGGGGACACGGGGAATGTCCACAGCCAGCACCCCTGTCCGTACTCTTTGCCTGTCTCCGGGTTCCTGCCTACGTTCCCTGTCCATCGGTCGGATGCCCGGGTTGAACTGACCCTCTGTGAGGGCCAGGCCATTAGTGCACCCTCTCCTGGAGCCCGGCCCAGAGCCAGCACAGGATGCTGCTCAGAGTTCCCCCAGGGTGATGGGTGCCCACACCCTCTTCTATCAAGAGGCTGTGCTGTGGGAGATGCCCTCCCAGCTGGGCAGCATCTGCAATGGCACCGTCCGGCCTCCAGGGGGCCTCTCTGAGCCATGGCCCCAAGGGTCCCTCCAGCCCCAGATCTGAGAGCAGCCCCAGGAGGGACCACTCACCCTCCTGATGTAGGCGCTGGCTGGCACTGGGTATGCGACGCCATTGATGGTGAAGACGATGTCAGGCAGGCTCTGGACGGCTGTGCAGCTGATGATGTACTGTCAGAGAGAGAGCGAGAGGGAGGTTGGCTCAGTGGGTCCTTTGTGTGTGGGGAGCTTGGTGTGACCCTGGGCATGACCCCTACCCAGCCAGATGTCATCTTCCTGGCACCGATGTTCCTCAGAATGTTGAGGATGGCATTGGTTGGGCCAGTCACCAGCGAGGCCCCGGTATCCATAAATGCTTGGCAGCTGTTTGCACAGGCCACGACCTTGCTGTCCATGGAAATGCTGAGGAACAGAGGAGGCACCAGGGTCACTCATGGCCTCTTCCACCGTGTCCCCTTCCTGCCGCCTGAGAACAGCCTGCAGCTCCTGCCAGCCTCTGTGTCCCTGTGTTCAGCCACACTGACCTTTCTGGGCCTCCTCTCAGGTCTGGAAGGCATTGTGCTCTTTGTGCCCCAGGACCTTTGCACATGCTGTCACCCTTCCTAGACTATCCCTGCCCCTTTGTCTGGCTGTTCTCTCCTGTCCTTCAGGGTGCAGATCAGTCACCACTTTTTCAGGGAAGTGTTCCCCCAGATTAGATCAGGACCCTCTCCTCCTCCAGCGGAGACAGGCAGAGCCTTCCTGGTTTCCAGCGTGCATGGTGGTGGGAACCCTGTTTGCTGTGATTCGGTCACTCATGCGTGTCTGCCCTCCTAGTCGGAGAGTTAGCTGTGTCCTCTGCCCCTCCAGCGCCCATGCCTAGCGCACAGCGTATGCTCCATGGTGTTTGCCGAGGGAATGACAGGGCGTGTAGGAATGAGGTCAACTGGAGACACGACCTGCTGTCCAACCAGTTATGAAGGCCACACGGTAAAGATGGAGGTTCCCTGGACGCAGGTGCTCAGAGAGGTGGGAGGGAGTGTTGTTCCCCACCTGCTTCGCCCCTCTTCCCAGTCCCCTGGCCAGGTGACGCCTGAACCAGCCCAGGGCGCTAGAGGTTGGCCCCGAAGCACAGTTTAAGCTTCTGATTCTTACATGCACCCCCTCAGTGATCACCCCTGATTCTCAGCCACCTGAGTCCTTGCTTCCCGATGCTCTAGGTCACAACCCTGCCCCTTGGCACCCAGATGGGGTGCGTGGGATCCCTCTATGTGATTTGTTTTCACACCCCAGGACTGCTCCCTGGTGTCTCCAGCCCAGGGCGGTGGGGTGGGGGGGTTCTTGTAGGTGTGTCAGCCTCTCACTTTACTGGCTCTGCTGCCTACACCTGGCACCCTGAGTGCTGGAACCCCCTGGTCTGGTGACCAGAGATGTCCTTGTTCTGACAATGGAATTCTCCTTGACCCCTTCTCACTGCGCTTGTCTGGGGGGTGCAGCCCTTCCACGCTGCCCCAGCCGCGACCTGAGGGCTGGGCCCCATGCCTGTCCCTCCTCCTGGTGTTCCGTGACCTGGCCCGATCCCATTTCTGCGGTCAGGACCCTGGTCAGGGCAGTTATGAACCCATGTTGGTGTGTGTGCCTGTAAGTGTCTTTGTTTCTGCCTGATTCTGTGTGTTTGCATGTGCGTGTTCCTGTGCGGCTGACCCTAGCATAGCTGTCAGCGGGGGGCGGGGAGGCTTACCTGTCCACAGTGACCTGCCAGTGGACCTGCCTGCTCACCGGCACCCACTGGAGCCTGCCCTGGTAATAGGTGGGGTCCACGCCGCCGAACATCACCACGCTGCCATTCTCCTTATTGCTGGGGGGAGGGGCTCACTTGAGGGGAGGACAGTGGGTGGCATTTCTCCAGTTCAGTGACCGTGGGGTGCACTTACAGGTGGCCACCCGGCCACTCTGCAGGGACCCCCACTGCTCAGAAGGGAACTGAGCAGCAAGGCTGAGCACAGCCCAAGGTAAGTCCCCTGCCCTCTGAGGAGCAAAGCCAAGGTTTGAACTTGAGATTCTGGCTGGGCTTTGGCCACCACCTCTCTGAAGCTGGCCAGGTCCAGGCTGCAGCCCCAAAGTCAAGGTGCGTTGGAGGCTACTGTGCGGAGGGGCCCAGGTGGGCCCGGGCTCAGGGTAGCTGTTGCTGAAAGGAAGGAAACACCCTGCCCGCCTCCCCCTCCGGCTGCGTCCAATCGATCAGCACATCCCGTGGCCTTTCCCTTCCCCCTGTGTCCTGATTCCTCCACGGCTCCCCCTTTCCCTGCCTCCCTGGTCTAAGCTCCTGCTCTCTCTCTCCAAAGAGGCTGAGCAGCCTCGTCCCTGGCCTCCCTGCCTCCTCTCTGGTCCTTCATTGTCCAGCCAGTGCCCGGGGGGAGCTTTCAGAGACATAGGTGGGACCATGTGTTCTACTTGCCTAGGCCCCTGCCAGAGGCCTCCTCTCCCACCTAAAACAAAGCCTGGGCGGCCCTGCCCCTGCCTGCCCAGACTCCACATCCACCTCGGCCTGCCCCTCCCTCCCTCCCTGCCCGCCCCGCAGCCACACTGCCCTTCTGGTCCTCTGCTGGGCCTGGGCCTCCGCTCCCCCATGGCCTGGCCTCATTCAGAGAGGTCCTCGCACTGCCCGTCTGAAACCACACTCTCATCTCTGTGGTTTGTCACCACGTTTTACCGCTTTCCCCGAAGCAGCCACCACCTGGCATGTGTTACCTTTCCCTGTTATCTATTTTCTCGCTTGTTGTCTGCCTTTTCTCCCTCTCATCTGTCCGTGTCACGTGCACAGAGCAGTACCCAGCACATAGTAGGTGCTCCATGGATATTTGTTAAACGGCTCACCTCCTTGATTCGGTACAAACACCCCAGAGGCTCAGCACATGCGGCAGAGCCTGGACCTCAGGCCCCCACGGAGCCCACAGGCTCACCCACACTCTGCGTCATACACACAGTCTGCCTGCCGGGTCCCCTCTGGCCTATGCTTCTCCTTTCCACCTGCTCCAGACCCTCAGTCCATCAGGAGGGATCTTCCAGTGACGGCCTGTGACTGGAGACCTGCTGATGGCCTGACCACCCACCAGAGAGGACGGCCTGCAGCCGAGCTTGAGTCCCACCTACCAGAGTGTGGCCGGGCAATTCTGTGCAAAGCTCCTCTCTGAGCCTCATTCCTCAGTTTCCCCAAACATCCAAGGAGGGACTAGAAGTACAGGGGTCGGCAAACTTTAAAAAATGCTAGATTATGCCCTAGCTGTTTTGGCTCAGTTAATATAGCATCAGTCTGGTGACTGAAGGGTCTCATATTGACCCCTAGCCCTGGCTCTTGCGCATGTAAGAGGCAACCAATCAAAATGTTTCCCTTGCACCAATGTTTCTCTGTGTGTGTCTCCTCCTCCCTTCCACTCTCTCCAAAAATCAATTGGGAAATATTTTTGGCTGAGGATTATCAAAAAGCAAAATAAAGTAAAAATGCTAGATTGCAAGTGCTGGATGCTGCCATTGTAGCTCAGCTGCAGCTGCAGCCAGGATGTGACTGAATGATCAGAGCTGTGTTCCAATAAAACTTTATTCATAAAATCAGGTGGTGGGCCACATGTGGTCACGGCCACTATTTGCTGACCCCTGCAATAGACTGCCCTTAAGGGGAAACACAGGTCCGGGTTGTCTACCATTTCAGAGGTGCCTGAAGGCATTCGGGGGTAGGGGCTTGGCCACCCAGGCTTACCTGCTCAGGTAGAAGGCGAAGACATTCTTAGATATGAGGCCTTGGTTCCACATGCTGTCGAAGACCGGGGTGGTGCCTCTGATAGCGAGGGAGGGGTAGGCCAGGCCCAAGATGCCGTCAAAGGGCAATATTCCCAAGGCCGTCACGGATACGGACCAGATCATGCCAAATGCCTGGGATTTGCACACAAGATCCCCGATCTGTGGGGAGGAGTGTGGTCTCATGTGAATATTTGGGAAGCAGAGCTGATGCTGGGCCAGGCGGTGGGGAGCCGGCCAGCGAGGATGATGCCACCTGCACCCCAAGCATGAGCTGAGGTGGGGATGCGCTGAAGGTGCTGGAGCAGCACCCACCGTGCATTTTGGAGGAGTCTGACCTTCGCCCACCCTCCTGCTAGCAGCACCCCAGGCAGTAAAACACCCCCATCCCCCTGCACAGCGGGGGACTGGGGAGCGGGCCAAGCACCCCCACACCCAGTACAGGCCCCAATGAGCAGAGAGGTGGGATCATCTTTTTTTTTGGCGTTCCGTGATCTGGGGCCAGAAATGAGTGAAGGGGTCCTTAGCGGGTTGCTCAGTGGATAGAGCATCAGGATGCGCACTGAAGGTTCCCATGTTACAAGTTGTGGCTGGATCCCAGTAGGGGGTGTGCAGGAGGCAGCTAATCAATGATTCTCTGTCACCATGGATGTTTCTCCCTCTTCCTCTCCTCTCCCTTCCTCTGTGTGTATGCATGTGTGAGAGCATATGTGCATGTGTTTGTGCCTTATATGTGTTTGAGTGTGTGCGTGTGTCTGTGTGTCAGGCAATTTGGGCAGGAAGCCCAGTTTTTTCAGACTCTCAAAGGCCCCCAAAGTAAGACCTTTTTTTTTTTTTTTTTTTAACATATTTTATTGATTTTTTACAAAGAGGAAGAGAGAGGGATAGAGAGTTAGAAACATCGATGAGAGAGAATCATCAATCAGCTGCCTCTTGCACACCCCCTACTGGGGATGTGCCCGCAACCAGGTACAGGCCCTTGCCCGGAATCGAACCCGGGACCTTTCAGTCCGCAGGCCGACGCTCTATCCACTGAGCCAAACCGGTCCCGGCAAAAGCCAAACCGGTCCCGGCCAAAGTAAGACCTTTTACTCAGGGCCGTCCTACACCCGTGGCCCTGCTTCCCCTGCCCTGGTGTCTGGGGCGCTAGGCACCCCCGGACTCCCAGATGCGTTCTGCCCTCTCCCGGAAAATCCCCCACAGCTGCCAAGCCCTGACTCGCACCCCAGCTGTGCTGCTCCAGGTGCGGGCCTTGGGCAGGCCCGCCCCCTGTCCCTCGGGTCCCTCCTCTGGGTGCAGGGAGCAGGATCGCATGCCCCGTGGGCTTGTTGTGGGATTAGACTCATTATTACCACGGGCGTGCCCAGCACAGCGCCTGGCACAAGCTGGGAATATAAACATGGGTTTTCCGCCCGGCTGGCGTGGCTCAGTGGCTGAGCGTCCACCTATGAACCAGGAGGTCCGGGTTCCATTCCGGTCAGGGGCACATGCCAGGCTTGTGGGCTCGATCCCCAGGGGGGCTTGCAGCAGGCAGCCAATCAGTGAGTCTCTCACATCTTTGATGTTTCTATCTCTCCCTCTGCCTTCCTCTCTAAAATTCACAAAAATATATATTTAAAAAATAAATAAAAACAGGTTTGCCCTCACCTCTCCCTGCTCCCAGCAAAACCAGCCTCGAGCTCACCATGAGCAAGAGCTGCAAATGCCCGCCTCTAGTGCCATGACCGCTTGCTGGATTGGCCACTTGGGGCGTTCTGGGGAGACGGTGCATCCAGCTGACCCTGCATATGGTGCCCTGAGCAGTGAGCAGAGGTCCAGGCCCCCCGCCATGCCACAGCCTTGCTCCCACTCACCCGCACGTCATCATAGCCCAGCACCCCGACTACTCTGCCGGACCCGTACTGCAGGTCGAAGATCTGGGTAGTGTTCTGGAAGGTGGAGGATGCCTGAGGGTCAAAGGTTCTGCGTGTCCCTGTGGATGGAGAGCCAGTGTCTTTCAGTGACCAGAGCCCAGATCAGGGACGGGGACAAGACTGGGGTGGAAGCCATGAGGGGCGTAGGCATTTACCACACATGGAACTGAGGCAGTCGATGGAGGGCACCCACAAGTCAGCAGAGCCCGTGTCAAAGATGACCCTGAACTCCTGAGGGGGCGTTCCAATGCTGATGGTGCCAATATAGTACAGCTGCCGGGCAGAAGAGGGCAGTTGGGCCAGGCCGGGCTGCCTGGTCATACCTGATCCCCGAAAGGCCTGCCTGGATCAGGCCGTGCCTGTCTCCTGGAATCGCGTACCCACCAGCCCACTGCCCAGCTGAGGCTCAGGCGGTGCCTTCATTTGAAAGTTTCCCACGTTCC